CTGACAAAGTCGAGCTTTCAGGAAAGGAATGGCCTGACAACGGCGGAAAAAAACCGTCCCGTCCGCGTATTCCTCGGTCCTCTTAGTCGACGTCTATTTTAGGGACCATTGACAAAGGGGGATTGAAATATATCGTTCGGATCGAGAAGAATCGGGACGCTTTCTTCTGGCAAAGTGAGTTGTCAGCCGAGGATGAAGCTCTCGCAAGGGAAGATCAAACCTGTCTCCACCAGTTAGATAAGTGACGTATAACTCTTAAATTGCAGGAGATATCAACAAAGGTCAACTATACTTTCCACGTCAAATTCTTATTTTCACTATTCATATTTGCTTTCACAAAGTTAAAGATAAATTTCGATACCTTATATTCGTTCCATTCATAAGACAAGATTCCAATCCCTTCAGCTCAATCGAGAAGTATCGAAACAGCAACGAATTGTCCTCGGAAATATGTATTCCAATCATCTCGAATGAAACCCAATTCTCTTCAGGTTTCTTCTCGTCGGTTGCGAGCCGGGCCCTTGAATTCAAGCAGACCAGTGAAAAACAGTGACCCCATATTCTTTACACGGAATCGCGGAGAAGGAATGCGGCGGGGGACAAAAGAGATTAACAGCTTTTTTCAGTTTGTCTTTTTCTCGGGGGAGCGTTTTGCAGCGGTAATTACAAGAAAGCGAGTCGTTACTTTTGCATCAGCGGTACAAAGAGAAGGATATTTTTCCGGTCTTTCGAGCACGGGCAATAAATTCAGCGACATTCCGTCGTCGTCGTTGTCGTCGTCGTTGTCGAGTCCTTCGTTTTAACGATAATTAAATGCAACGCGAAATAGGAATAAGAAAAATAATTCGGCCATGGCAAAAAGTATCGAAAGTGGCTAATTAACTTGTTAATTGCGTTTCGTTAGGGGAGGGTATGCAAATCGGTATGCAAAGGGGCGTGTGACTAAAGAAAGACGCAGATGAAAGCCGGCGGTTCGGCGCGGACCAGGTGATAAATAGCTAGAACACGATAAAGGGGCCAACGAAAACAAGCGCCGAAGCTTTGCAATTAAAATTCAGTAACTCGTTTACCGTAAGCAAGGCTCTCTCGTTTGTAGTCGCGCCGTTAAATAGAATAAGCTGCCCGGACAATGGGTACAAATCACTTTGCAATCAGAGCCCCTGAAAGAACAAATCCAATGACATGTTCAATAATTCCAAGGGCAATTATTTACATTACTAACGATCTCACTGGTTCATTTACTTTATCATCAATCAGTGGTAAGAGGCTTTGTTTGATCTAGAATGGGGATGGGCATCTCGGTGCCCCGGACTGGCATTTTTCGGGGCAGACAGCAAGCAGTTAAACAAAGAAATCCATTAATTAGCACATTCGCAATCGGCAGATATTTTACGTTTCTAATACCGGATACTGACGAAAATAATAAAATTCTGAACCTGGGTGAATCAGTGTTGTAAATATGTAGAGTATAAAATGAAAAGATGTTCATAATTTTGTTATGACTAGGATTTATCCTTGATCAAAATCAAGAGCAATTGTAATAGATAATTCCAAGTCATTTTGAAGTTAGAAAAATGAGAACGTTAAAAATATATTCAACTAATAATTTGCAACTGATTTGACGCTGTAGTCGTGTCCCAGTATTAGCGTTTTCGTTCTTCTCTTCGTACGATAGCGGAGTCTTTTGTTTGTTGTTTCGGTTAACGAGAAGACGTTGGCATCCTGTTATCAACAACAGCATTCTTCTGCTTTCTTATCTTCAGGAGACGGAAACACGGTTCCATTGCACCGAAAACAATGCCCTTATCGCCGGCAGCGCGACGTCTATGTAGATTTTTCCAGCACGCTGCTGTGGTTGTCTCGATTTCACCGTGGCTGAGAATTAACGTCGAAGCGGATTTCGCGAATGTATGAATCATGCATCGCGTCTGTTTCATACGCATAGACGTAATTAGTTATTGAATTTGATTCAAAGAGGGAAACACACTAACGATAACAATGCGTCATTGTTTCGTCAAAATTCAATGCCGAATACAGCGGGTAATGAGCAGAAAATAATTTATTTAAACAGTGATAAGCATACATTATCGTTTACCTAGCCTCGGGAGACAATGCAATAAGAATTTAATAGAATAAAGTTTCTCCTCCTCTATTGTATGCTATTTTAACGAGTGAAATTTCGACGTCACCTATTCGTGTTTCAATTACGATTCGTATGTTCTCCCTAGTAAACAGAAATTGATCGATCATTCGCGAACCAAATGGGATAAATTATTTACGCTCGCTGTGATCGATTACGATGAATCGACGAAACGTAGCAAGCGTAATTGCGCTCGTTGGGAAACGGGGCGACAATATTTCTAAAATAAGTTAGACAATACTGTCGAGACGGTGCTCGTTTCTCCGTTTGGACAAAGATGAATCGCTCGTTTAATTGGATTTCTCTAACAATGCACGAGTGCAAGTAACTGTAAGCGACGAAATATTCAAGCGTGACCCGAGCGGCTAATTAATTCAACGGTATCAGAGTGTAACAAACAGGGTGACGATTGTTCCGAATTAATATCCTAATACCTTCCATTATATTCCGAGCGAGAACGGCGGTGCATCAATTTATCGATAAATTGTTTCATCTGCTTTTCCATTTCCAGTTCCTTCCGTCCTCGTTAAAGGTATTTTCTGATTTCCCTTCAAATTGCAGTATCGAAAATTCGATACGGCGGGTATGCTTGTGCGGCAAAATACGCCGAATCGTTTCGTTTAATTTCCAGTGGAAATTCGGGTCAATTTTTCCGAAAATTAAACAAAAAGCTGGAGCGACGACGGCCCAGCGCAAAACATTCTTAAAAGCGAACCGGCGCTCGTTGGGCGGTAGGAGTTTTATTTGCATCCAATTAAAATGCAACTTCGCTAAATACTTTTGATACTTCTGCGACTGCGAGCCGATCGATGAACCTGCGAATATTTCACGGGTTATACATAGACGCGAAAAGCAAATCAGGGAGAGACTTGGAAAAATTTATAATTTTACTGGTAATGCAGATACACATTATTTAAAAAGATAACAATTACGTAAATTTGATTTATTCACTGGGACTATTGAGTGAATAAACAAAATAAAAATATTTAATTTTTCTAGCTGGTTCAATTTTAAGTAGAAATATCGTTCCGTAGAAATATCCACCATGTTTTTCAATAAATTATGTATTCGACACAGCATACTTCATCGGCATAACAAAAATATTTTTCACGCCTCAGTGATGCGTTAAATGAATGATAAAAGTCTCAAGAAGATCAGTTGTACCGTTGAACCAGAATAAATTCTCAAATATCGCTCATTCTTCAACCGAGGAGATGATAAGTAGTATAGGTCAATCATGAGTCAGACTCAAGTGAACCCTACCATCGACCACAATCATTTTAATGAAAATTTGTACTTTTCACAGACCTGCAGTCTAGAAAAAAATGGTTAAAACAGTTGGAAATTTTTATACTTGCTCTAGACGTCTAACTGAAATCTGTTTCTTTGTCCTTTTCCAGGTGCGCAGAGGACGACGAAGGTAATTTGTTGAAGCCGGAGGTCCAGGCGTTGATCATCAGCGGCTCCTTTGAGCTGTGGACGCCGCTTTAATAACCAGTCAGCCACGCGAAGTATTTCATTAAAGCCGGATATCCACGGCGAGGGACGGGAAGGGACGACGAGGAACGGGTTTCCTGGCGTCGCGCGATGCGATTCTGCGAGGATAGGGGAGAACCAGCGGCGCTTCCCTTTGACGATCGTCCCTTGTCTGAGCCGGGGGAGGATCTCCGTCATCCTGGCGCGAAAGGAAGCACGGTCTCGTACAATTCCGCGGTGGCCCGGGAGCTACGGAGGATTGAATAAGTATCCTAGTCACGCTGCAACAAGTTCTTACATATGTCCCACCCCTGCTACCTTGGAAAGTGTCATCAATTCGGAGGAAGCGATTAAACTTTCTTTTAAAGATAGCCCTATCAAGAAAGGGTCTCATCGAGTATCGTTGGAAGAAGTGTGGGAATGAAGACAGACTTTGGTAGACACCTGGACTGGAGCTAAGAAGATGCCTAGGTCGAGAGGTCTTATGTTCTTGGGGTGTTCTCTGACCGAAGCTTGGACACTGTCAAGTGGTAGTGGCGGGATTCGATCAGCCCTGATGTACATGGACTGATAAGTGCTGATATGAAGTAGAGGCGTCTGTCAGAGATTATTCGAGACAAACTGCAGGGACATCCAGAGCAATGTAGCAAAAGTGCACCCATATCCTAGCACGTCGATCCGTTCCTAGTTAACTTAACCCGACCTTGTGATGTCTTCAGCATCAAGACAAAAACAACCCTCCTCCAACAAGAGACACCACACGATATAGAAACCTTCTCAAAACTTGACAAACGCCAAGTCTGAACAGAGAGATTGGAAGGTGACCATCCACTCCTCCATTAAAAATAATGAAGACGCGAAGCAGCCTAAGTGCCTGGCACAACTCACCGCTTTCCTGTGGCTGTAACAGTGGCTTCTAACGGTCTGCGGCGACTTGGCCGGGATGCCCGGGAGATCAGTTCGCGAATCCATTGCGGGGGAGTATCTCCCTGAAGTCGTCCCGTGCATCCTATTCTTTCCACTCTGCGCTCCCTCGAAGTGGAATTTATTTCCAATCCGAGAGCATCCGCACAAACGCGGCCTGGATGAGGGCTACGTATCCCCAAAAATGCACGGTCCATAGAGACCCGGAGCTCCGTTGAACAATACGTGATCTTGGGGTGAACGAGATCCCTTCAGGTTCTGTTGAAAAGTGAAACGTTCCAGAAGATACCAGAAACCAAGTTCTATGGTTCGAAAAACGGTTCGTGTCGCGAACAATGAGCCCATAAATAGCTGGAAACTATTAATTAACCCCCAACGGGGGATGCTAGGACACCCCAATATCGAACGATTCTCCAATCCCGCGGTGATAATGCCCTAGGACGATCAAACCTTGTCGAAATCGCGAGTGAAGTGCGATATCCTTTAGGGAAAAGGGCGACAGGCGTTTTCGGGGGTTTCCCACCCCCGACGAGCAACGGCAAGAAGGGGTGGAGTTAGCCGGGACTATGATGCCGGTTTGATAACGTGGGTCGGTGACACGGTGCACGGTCGCGCGACTCGCTACATCCGTGTCTGGCCCCAACCCCCGTAGTGTTCACCCCCCTCGGAAGGGGTTGGTTACGGCGAGAGTTTGAGGAGAGGAGAAAGAGGCGGAGGGAAGAGCGATCGTGGGAGTAAGAGGTAGAGGAGCGGAAGAAAAAGGAAATTTGAGACATTAAAGGGACCCTGTTACAAGGCGCAGGGGGTTAGAGGGTGAAAGTAGAAGAGGGCGAGAGACGCGAGGTGGTAGGGATTCATGGGAGGTAGAAGGGAACAACGTACTGCAACGTGAACGAGCAAGTCGAAGGGAGGAGGAGGCGGCGAGAGGACAAGCAGGGAAGTTTCCGTCTGTCCGAAGTGGATGGGGGTGAAAATGTTCGGAGTATTGCTGGCATGTGTCTGGCTGGTTGCCGGCTCCCCGTTACATCCCTGGCCGCTAATACCGCACAAAGGTAAGTGCCCGATCTACTCGCTGTTTCTTATTGTCCGTTTTTACCGGGGATCCAACAGGGGGATGATTATTCGAGATTTTCCGACAGCAGCATGACGCTCATTCTACAGTAGACAGCAGGATGAGGGGAATCCCCCATACGAGCTACTCTGAGGGTGCTGAACATGGTTTTTTTAAAGTAAGAATTTAATGCATGGAAAGTTTCTTACTTACCACTCACTTTTCTGTTAAATAATGTTTTAATGGTTAAAGGAAGGGAATTGATGGGGGCTTCTATGTGAAATTTAAGTAGGTAACTTGGAAGATGATAGACTTTCCTCGAATAGTACCGAATTCCCTTGGAAGATACGTCAATGTCCATTTCAAATAACCTAAGGCAAAGTTTGGGAATGATAAGTAGTACATGTCGATCACTAGTCAGACCTGAACAGCTTCTACCACTAGCCACAGATATTTGAGTGAAACGTCTTGTCCAGGTCATATTCGGGCAGTTCATTTGCAAAATTCATCCTACCGAAATATAATTCATTAAAATTCAGCGAAATTAAGCAGTATGAGTCTTTAAATTGGGCGACACTGTGCTCAACAGCCACTAAGCTTTAAGACATCGTGAAACTAGATTGAAAAAAAAAAACTTCGTCACCTACACCAAGTTATTTCAGAACTAGTTTAAGGATAAGTAGGACACGTAGACTCAAATGACCCTTATCGTTGTTAAAAAAATTTTAATGAAAATTCTCGTAGACTTCGCGTTGATAAAAGTTAGTTTCCGTCATTTCTGGCCCCATGGCGGGGTGTACCGAGCTCATTACAAGTTTTTATTAAATGTCAGTAAAAATTATAAAGCAAGAAACTGAACTTATAAACAGACCGTGTCACGTTCCTTTGAATCCCGCAATTACCGAAGGATCCGGGTAGATTTTCAACTCGTCAAAAGGAAATGGAAGTTCTACAGTCTCTGCGGTATTTCCAAGACGAAGAGCGGTCTATCTGCTTGTCATTTCCCCGCTCTTTGTCATTTATCGCTGGCGCTTCTTCGTTTCTCTTTCATATCGCGATCGTACGTTCGTCTCCGGCGATGCGGTTTAATGGAAACTCGGAAGTTTGTTGCAACTTTTTTTTTTCTCTCTACCTCTGTCTCTCTTTCCCTCTCGAGGCGGTCCTTTTTCCATCGAAATTACAGGAGCCCCGACGAGAGGGCCGCAACCCTCCCGATGCACTCTCTCGTCTATCCGCGCGCCCGCGCTGTTGGCAGACTGTAGTTTTACGGCCGATGCGAAGACCGTAATTTAAAATACTCCACGATAAAAGAGACGAACGATAACGGCTTAACAACGAGGGGGAAAAAGTTATTCCATTTCGCAACGGTGGTAATCCGCTGTGGAAAAGTTGCCCGACGTTTTTCTGGGAATCTTCGTGCCGCGTTTCACTTCCTACGCGAGTGACGAGATGACGTAGGGACGGGGAACGCTGAAGGACCGTGAAAAGGAAACTTGACTTCCCCGGTTGGAATTTTTTTGCCAACTTCCTCTGCGTTTCCACTTTTTATTATTCAAACATCGCACTCAATTATTAATAAGTACACATTCATTTCAAGAGCTAGTCAAAGAAAATAGGAACTTGAACGATACGTACTCAGACTTTGCAGAGATGCAATGTATTACACCGTCGAGTAGTACATATCAATATATGGGCAGACACTCTTGCCTGGTTCGGTCCAAAGTTATTTGCCTTCAATTTCTATGTAACCTATAGAACTTCTCTTACTTATGTTTCATAAAATAGTCACTGAATTTCCCATAAACTACTGGAACAAGAATAATTGATCTTTTTCGTATAAATAGTGTCCAATATATATCAAGGAATTATTCCATTTGGAGTAGCGTCGTTTAAACTGTAACAGCGATCGGCGCACGCTGTGTTTGCAATTTTAAGGCACGGCCAGCCCCGGGTGGGAATCTATTCCGCATCATGGTACACAAAGAACGCTAGCCTGTTCTTCGAGCCGTCCGTATCGATAGCACAGTTTCCTTTATTGCGCCAGCCCTTCCTTCGAGGCTGGTGGATGGAAATGAAGACACGAACCGGCGGTAAATCGAGCGGCGCACCGAGTGGAAGGCCACGCTCGATTTCGCAAACGCGACGCTCGCGCTATTACGCGGCTTTGCTCGCGCAATCGCGCGCCTCCATTCCAGGAATTAGTCCATCAGAATTCAACGTCGCGCGAGGCTAACCGAGTCGTGTCGACATTGTTGTCGTTTCACCCGTGTCCGTAGAAGAACTGTCACATGCCCCGCTCTCTGTCACGGATCGTATCCAGGTTAGGTCCCCTGTCAGAACGCCACGAGAATTAATTGGCTCCCCTTCCTGGGCCCGTCTCTACGATCAGCCTGATAAATATGGTCTCTCGGACGGTGCGTCGTCCTTTCCTCTGGCGAAACGAAATTTAATTCGTCAAAATAACTAGCCGTTTATAGCTCTGCAAGTGCAGCGTTTGCTTCATTTTATTTGATTTCTTTCTCGTGCAACGTTAGGTATTAATTAATTAATTAATACTTATCTCAGCGCTCGCATATAACTCGTTCCCGACATCGGCAGGCCTCCCTCTCGTGCTTCGTTTTTGTAAGCCCCGTCGGTAGATACTCACGATGCAACATCATCGACCCTGATTCCCCACGGATCTCATTTAAGCTGAACCGACGAAAATTTTTAATTGGCTGCCACGGTGGTTTCCTCGAGGCACTCGTACGCCCGTTTGAAACAAAACGGTCCACGACGATAAATATTTAACTAGCCGCGAAGGCGAGGAGAGCCACCCCCGACGGAACAAAGTAAAAATTTAATATCGTTGCCGGCCGTGCTTTGGCATTACGCGAAAAAATGTCAGCGCAATTAGAGCGATGCAAACAGAACAATTTTCATTGCGTCGTGCCGAGCAATGCGTCCTCCGGTTACGCTGGCTCTAATTCGGACAAGTTTCCCTCAAATGGGCAACTGATGCGGCAACAGAGCCTCGGGTAGACAAAGGGCGAAATTTAACCTCGCTCTGGCACCTCCACCATTGAGCTCATCCGTCTGTCAATGCTCGCCAGAACCGCGCATTCGGCGCATCACGTTTAAATATTGAGCTCGTCCGTAGATTGGCTTTTCCCGGCTGCCGTTAATTAATTAATACCCCCAATTTTCACGGTGAACTTTCGGCGGGCAAGTGATAGCGTTGATTCGACAATAAAGCGAGATTGGCCGCGGTCGTGAAACGTTAACGTGGTGGAATGTTCGAAAAATTCCTCCGTCCTTTTTTCACGAGGTTCCCTGAAAGTTTAATAATTCGGGTTTGATACTTCCAGAGCCGACAGTGCCTGTCAGAGACCCAGAAATTTAAGCAGGTGTGATAACATTCTTCTACCGTTCAAATTATTTCTGTTTCATTAGTTAACATGAAATTTGGTGTTCATTTTGTGGAACAGAGTTAAAGGAAGTTCGACTGTTTACGTAGAAATTGTCGGCAGGTAGAATGAACTTAAATCAGACAAGAGTGTGTGACTATATACCTACATGTACTACTCGACGTCGTAATAATACTCGCTCTAGCCATCCTTTCAAGACTTGGAAAGAGATGTATTCGCGTAGTTGGCAGCTATTTTCTAAGTTAATACCTGCTACGAGCTGCATCTTCAACCAGTAAATAATTGGGCCGTGACCTTATGCATGACTATAGAGCACCGACCAGGGTGGTAATTGCGGGGATGGAAAAAATAGCGACTTTCAGCCTATCGACGTCAGAATAAACGGTCCCTCGAGTAAACCGTGAAACGTTTGAGAGACGAACTACCACTGAGAGCTCTATCAACGGTCTCTCGAAGCTCTGGATTAATGTTTGTCAAATCGAAACCTTTCCTCTGTTTCTCCTTCCCCTCGTTCTCTCCTCAACCATAATTCATTCTCGCGGATGTTAACTCGACGAACTAAAGGAGAGCAATCTCCTTCCCGTTTCGTAGATTAACGAAATCGATGCCAAGTGAGTACCGAAGGTTGAGGATTATTCGAGGTAACGTTGATAAATATTGCACGTTAATCCCGCGCTGATGAATTATTCGGACTCAGGGAAAGCTACGTCTATGCTTTCGCGCGAATATCCACCTCGCGTCACGGGTGACACGATCTCGAGTGCGAGCCGTACGCGGCCGCACGCCGTAATGAATGATACCGGGCCAGAGTATCGCTGCAGCGGAACGTACAACCGTAAAATTGCATATTTTTGTAGCAGCTAATGCACACCTGCCTGACAGAGTCATTCGTTACTCTCCCGCTTGTCCAGGACGACGAGAATGTTTTTCGAATTCGACTAATGACCCGCGAACGTTCGACGGTTGATCGATACTACCTGTTTCTTCATTCCCCATTCAGGAACTTTTTAACATCGAGATTGTCGAATTCCGCTGGTTTTTGGCTGCGAAATGACGATGAAAATGTCGTAGCGGTCTGCATTTCTAGGGAAAACGAGTGGTTTTGGTCAGGCATTGGTCGGGCAATGGTTGGAAGTAATATTGGATTGTCACTGGTCAGGCATCTCGCCACAAAGTGACATGATGTTGGTCATGAATTAACTAAAAAATGTATAGCAAAGTGATATTGATGTGTTATTAGTCAGACATTATGCGACGGAACGTAGATTTCGATCGTACATTGTCAAACGATTAATAGATGAACGAAGTGATATTGTTGTCCCCTGCCAGACACTGTAACAGACGCGAAGTGATATTGTAACGTTGCTAGTCAAACAATAATACAATTTTCAAAGGATATTAGATCGTGTCTAGTCAGACAGTAATACAAACCTGAAACAGTACTACACCGTTTCGATTTGGATAATAGTAATTCTCTTCAAACAAAACCGAAGCAGCACTACATCGTCTCTATTCAAACGACACAAGGTTGAAGTAGTATTACACCGTCCGTGGTCGGACCACGAGTTCGAAGTGTATCGCATTGTCGTCGGTC